CCGCTTCTGGATTAGCAGTCCCCGTGGCAGGTTTGACCGTTCTGCTCTGTGTCAGTCATATTCTGGCAAAGCTTGTGCGTGTGGTTTAGTTGCAAAGCTCTGAAAACCAGAAGCGCTGGGAGGAAATAGCGACTTTTCCCTAGGATGGAGCATCGTCCCCAGCCTGTCCCGGTGGGCAGCCCCGGCACCGTGCCCCTCCCAGCTCCTAGTGTGGGATTTTGGTGCTGCTCCGGCTCTCCGGAATGGTGTTGGGGACCGGCAGTGACCTCCAGCTCTGCCGCCACATCTGCGCTGGGAAAATGCCATTAATGTCACTGAAAGGTTTTTCCTTCTCTCTCCTTCCCCCCAGGACCTGCAGTCCAGGCGAGCTGTGCGGCTGGTCTTATTCCTGACTTTGCAAAACTGGCTGAGCCAAACCCAGCAAACGCTGAATTACTGTATCTACATGGCTGTGGCTACGAGAATTAGCTTAGCTTTATTTAATAAGGAGGTGACCATAATTGTACTTCCAAGGCAATACGTATACCTGAAGAAGGAGGAAACTAAACATAAAGCCAGCCTGAGTGCCTTATTCAGCAGAAGCATATGGACAGGCTTTATTGCATCCAGTTGCGTAGTCAAATCCATTTAATTATTTAGTTTCCTTCAGGGTGATCAAATAAACTCCGAGCTGTTTCAGGAGGTGGATGTGGCGCAAATGCAGAAGTAGCAAGTGGATATTAAACGGTGTTTGGTGTCGGAGCTAGGTGTGGTAACACGCGCGTCTCGTGGCTAGGGGTGCTTTGAGTTTGTTTGTGAGCTGCTAGCGTATAACCGAGCTGCAAGCAATGGAAGCTTTAAAGGGATGAAGTGAACCAGAGCTCTGGAGACGGGGCTCAAAGAGAAAACAGCTTTTATAAGATGCTTTCAATATTTTGATGGTTAACATCCTAAGGGGAGGGGTTTGTACCCTACAATAAAACTTTACGGCAGAAACCATTCTTTATGAAGTTCTGTAGGTTCATTATTATTTTTTAAACCCCAGAGATGATTTAGTTTCTATTTTTAGGCCTATGGCATATCCTACTAACGTTACCATAACAGCTGTGAAGAATGTTGGGTTTCGTTGCTTTTCCGGTCTTGTTTGACTTGGTTTTGACATCCCATTGAACATGGGTCACAGCATACACCTCAGCCTGCATTTCAGCGTAGGTTCCTATGAGCTAAGGGCTGCATGGGTCTGTCTTCTCTCTGCTTGCCCCAATAACTTTTGAACTTGGCCCATTTCAGCCAAATTTGACAGAAGGACGACGACTGTGCAGATAATTAGTTTCATGTGAACTTTAGATATCAGGGGGCAGGTTAAGGGAAAAAGAGCCTTTTTGATATCCATGGTGCGGCACGAGCTCACACTGCCATACACAAGCCTTTGCCATATCAGCTGCTTCAGAGCTTGCCTGAAGATTGTCCTTTCTGAGATTTTCTGTTTCTTTTTTAATTGCAGTGCTAGGGAGGCTTTTGAAATGTTTTTGACCCCCAGGCCAATAATCTAATTCATTTTGGGGGTTTTCTAACAGATGAGGAAAGCTGATGTTGGAAGGGTGAAACTTGCACTGCCAGATTTGTAACTGCAACACACAAACTCTCCCCTGTAGGTAATCCAGTTACACACAGTGGAAATTGCATTCAGCCTGGGCCGGGCAGAGGTGGCTCCCATGGGCTCACCCAGACCCTGGTGACTGGTGAACAAGGCAGAAGCCTGCGATTCACCGCGCTTCTCGCTTTAGCTGCTGAGAGAACCGGCTCCTGGGGGACAGAAGGGTCTCCGAGAGCCGATTTAAGAGCCGTTACATTGAATACGGTTCGGGTTCTGCAGGGGCTTCAGTGCGGGTCATGCACGTGTGTGTTCTCTGGAGAGCTAATGGCAGAGAAAGGCAGAAGATCTATTTAGTGTCCAAAATACCTGCAATTTTTTTGTTTTTTCCTCATCTTGGCTGTGTAATTTGCACATAGTAACAGTGGCAGTGATCATCATAAGGTCCTGCGTTTTGGGGTGCAAATCCGCTTAGTCTGAAAGCCTGCCTTGCACCTCCTGAGCATGCAAGAACGCAAATGAAGGCACCAGGGAGTGGGGAGGCTTTTACTCTTTTTGATGCCAAAACACTAATCTTGGAAGTCCTTTTTAGAGTCTGGGGGGCTAGCAGAGCACTTTACCTCAAAGGTGGAGGAGAACTGGCAGGTCGCTTTTCTCATCTGTCATCCGTGTGGTCCTTCTTGCAGGACACCATGATGATGTTCTGGCTCTTTGTGCTGCTGGTGGTGGGCTGGAGTAACACGTCGGTGTGTAGCGGATGATGACCTGGGGTGAACCGGCAGCATCGGTGACTGTAAACTATAGGATAAATGATTCCTTTATACAGAAATCTCAGCATAATTGGTAATTACAGATTGATTACAGGGGTCCATCGATTCATTAGAGATGCAGTGGTCTCTAAGGAAAAAACAGTGATAAATAAATGCTGCAAAATGAGCGGTTCAGGAGAGAAAATGACAGTTTTCTAGACAAGGTCCTGAGCAACCTGATCTAACTTTGGTTAGCCCTGCCTGGTGGTATCTCTGTGTCTGCAACCCCCTGCTCAAGGACCTGCCCAGTGGCTATGGGTATGGTGGTGGAGCCCCGGTTGTCCTCGCTCTGGGCTTTGCGTAGGTCGAAGTGCGTGCTGAGGTCTCCCTACTGCCATGAAGGGCGTTGCTGCAGGAGGGCCACTAGCCACTGCTGGTTTAACTGCATTGTTTCACTCTGGTGCTTCCCGTCGCCAGCTTTTCCGAAGAGATGACAGCAGCCTTTAGATCAGATTGACGAGGAAAATTTGCATTGATACCTTTAGC